TCTCTCATGGCTAGAGCCCCCAGCGCACGCGATAGCGTTCGTAGCCGCCTGGTATAATATATAATTATTATATATTATATATTATATGTTGTATAGTATTATATAATATATAGAAAATATATAATATTATAATATACAATATTTAATGTATAATATATGATATATATGATATACGATATTTAATCGCCTCCACCCCGTCAAAAACGATGGGCGGCGCGTGCCCTAAAATGGTGGCTACTCCTTGGGAATATGTATAACTCTGTTCAGGAACGTTATAGATCGGGCGCGTCTCCCTATGTGTGGGGCTCCTCTAGGCTCACATGTGCTCTGTTGTACCTACCTTATGCTGAACTCATTCCTAACTTGATCCGACCTCTTCATGTGTTTCTTCAGGTAATAACAGACAGGCAGGCAGACAGACAGAGAGACGAGAGAGCGTTATGTTCAGTAATGATATTATGTATGTAATAAGTATTATATCCTTATGTATGATCAATAGTTCTTAATTCTCTCTATATGAAACACCAACTTTGTATGCATGTTTGTTTGTCTATTTAAGTGTCAGTCCACAAAAAATCGGGATGACTAGTGTGAAATGTCACGTGGGCGCATGTTAACGTGGGTGAAGAACATGTCATAAAATGGGAGGTATGCTGGTACTCTTAATAGTGATATCACTAACCGATACGGATCACTTTGTGACGTCATTGACTGGGAATCGTAACCTCCTTTCCATTTATCGCAGGATGGACCTTATCTGGAGCGTCTCAACAAGCAGGGCAACTAGACCTTCAAAAAAGAGAGAAAGTAGGGTGAGATAACTGGGGAAACTTCTACATTGGCATCATGTGTCATCAAACACTCTGTGTTCTCCACAACATCTCTAATGCTTTTCTTATGGTTATATTCAAAGAAATTTTGAATGTACGTATCAATTATGGCTACACACGTGAAAAAACCCTTCGCTATTAAGTATTTCACTTTTGATGCGGGACTCCCAGAATACAGTGCGTCGCCAAATGATACGGCCACCTCTGATTGTCCCAAAAGCTCGCAGTACACGATGTTTCTGAAAAACTGCCAAAGTAAAAAATGTGTCAAATTTGAATTGCAATTCGCACATTATCACCAAATTTCAGCTTGAAAACACAAACATTTTTTGGTCGATTTTTCAATAAAGGGTGCTTTTCCAACAGTCGCCAAATGATACAGCCACTAGCAAAATTAATTTATTTAACACGTTGACGAGAGCGCGGGACACATATGTTCCGCGTTTTGCAGGCCACGTGGGACAACGCGGGACATATGTGTCCCACGCTCATTTCCCAATTTTTTTAAAGCGCATGCGTGATTTATTAAAATGTTTTTTGTGTTTATATCACAGATCAAACAGTAACAAAGCTATAAACATAGTGGTCCATTAAATGATCAGATATGCTCCATCTTTGCACAGGTTTTCTGAGTCTCACAGAGTTTTGGACCTTCTTTGAACTTCGGCATTTATATTGAGATCAACAAAAGCAAGTAAAATAAAAACATTGGAAGCAAGCTATTGATTGTAAATTAGTAGCACTTGAATGAATGTTTTCTCATTTCATCAGCGCTCATTCTCATTAAAATTCTTCATTTTGTCGGATCCCGTAGCTATTGGTTTCTCTAATGATGAGGCCAGAATCTCTCTATGCAGAAACAGTTCGTAGAAGTCTGTTGGTTCCTGACAGTCATAAACAACATCATGTAAGCCGGAAACACCACTAAAAGTCCAAACATCGTGCGGCGAAGCATCGCTCAATCACCATTCTTTCACTATCAGGTTGTTCTTCTTCTAGTTCAGATTCCATATTTTCTTCCATATCACCTACTTCTTCTTCAGTAGCTCCTTGCTCTCCGCCGTCCAAATTCGCGCATTCTCCGGTAATCTGGATCTCCTCACTTAGCACTGCGGTGTCAGAAGACGGTCGAGTTGCATAGTATCGTCCAAGTATTCTTCTATTCCAGCCATTTGTATGTCCGTATAAACATTTGTTAGAGCGGAATATTTATTATGTAGGACATTTTTGTGTGCTTTTCCTTTTATTAATCAACCTACTGAGTAGCGATAAGTAGTTGAAAGTAGGTTTTACACTCAAGCTTCGAAAATCGCGCCTCAAGGGACAGCGCGGGACGTATGTGTCCCGCGGTCGAAGCTGCCGCAAAATTGCGTCTGTCCCACGCGGCCAAAAATGTCCAAACGTTGGCTGTCGTCAACGTGTTATCAACAAGCATACAACAAGGAGAGAAAGTTGCAAAGTCAATATTCAGCTGACCCACCATTCTTTCGAATTACTTTGATAATACGGTGGTCTAGGCTCGAATAAAAAATTGTCGGTCAGCTCCTGGGCAACTTGGAGCCATGCTTCGATTAACGCTTTTTTCAACTCCTTGACGCCTCGGAGTTGCTTGTTTTGGGCGTAAATCTTCCGCTATATAAAGACCCACACATTTTCCAGCAAATTCAAGCCGGAGCTGTTCGCCGGTCAGGGCAGAATTACCGAGAGAACCAAGCTTGGGTGCTCCTGCTGAGGTAAATTGCAGCGTTATCTTGCGTAAAAACAAGATTTCGGTGCAGATTCTGACGCCAAGAAGGAAGAAGTGCGCGGCGCATAACAGTTTGACAAAAGGATGAGCTCATCTCCTTTGATACAAATCATATACGGGTAAGCCTACTCGATGAAATTGCGTCCCAAACCATTACTCTCATCCCTTGAAGTTGCGTCTAGAAAACTGAAGTTTCTTTTTTCTCAAATCGTGCCAGTGAAATCGGTTCCCGTCTGGACCGTAACAATTAAACTTCTTTTCATAGGAAAAACCGACTTGAAGAACAAAAATTATTAAGAGAAGGAAGGCCAAATGTCAGCACATAAAGAACACCTTATTCCACTCGGTACGGCTGCACCGTCTGGCGAAAGCGACCCGATTTCCTCGATCTCTTTTAGTCATGAAGGACACCTTACGCATTTTCCGCTAGGAAATGAACTTGGACTTTCTGATCACCTTCCAAACAGTGCTTTTTGAGACAGAAACGACCGGATTTCCATACAGGACTTGGTGGAGTTCGACGCTTCCCTCGAAGTACAGCGCTTGTCTCTGTCGGAAAGCAGCGAATGACATCCAGCACTTCTTCTTGTTTATCATAGGCTTCAGAACTTTGACGAAATTATCCAAAACTGCGTGGCATCGACCCAAATCTCGCGCTATTCTGCGATTTGACAGTTCCTGCTAATTTTTCACGGGGATTTGACCTTATTCAAATTCCGAAAGCAAATATCTCTTCCCGTTGCCTGAAAATGAAGAACGTTACATAATCGAAGCAATTTCGTTGCGTTGAACTAAAAAACGACAAGAAGACATGAAGTGGCTGTATCATTTGGCGGCGTTGGAAAAGCACCCTTTATCGAAAAATTGACCAAAAAAATGTTTGTATTTTTGAGTTGGAATTTGGTGATAATGTGCGAATTGCAATTCAGATTTGACACATTTTTTACTTTGGCACTTGTTCAGAAACATCAAATACTGTGAACTTTTGGGGAAATTAGGGGGGGGGGGGCTGTATCATTTGGCGACGCACTGTAGACCTAAGGGGGGATTTTGGGTGTAGCAGCACCGAGTCGGCAAGTGAGAATGTTTTATGTTCTTAGGTAAGTGGTTGTGGATGCACGCGTCAGCGTGCGCAGCCCAACTGGTATATTATCATTACTATACATATAGCGCTCGCCTCTGCCTGCCTGTCTCAAAATTCGAAAAAAATGTTAACAGGAGAAATACATAGAGAAGTCGAACCAAATTTGGAATGGATTGAGCATGGGGCAAGACCAACAGAGAGGAGCTTCGCGCTCAGGGGCGGAACCTGCACAGGAGTGGGCAGTGTCTTGGGCAAGTCTTTCTCATTCGGTCATCTAACAGTCCAGACGTCGAGAAAAATGAGCTGGGGTGAGGGATGGGTCGACAAATGAGGTGAAGGTGACTCACCGGCAGTGGGCGCTCCGTTCTTGCAGTGGGCGGTGCTTCCCACATAAGTTCCTAACTCTACTCAATAAAGGCGTGGAGGCCAGAAAGATAATGGGAGCTAGTAAGGCCTCACACTAGCTGGGCATGCATGAACTTGGCGAAGCTTCGTGCACGTTAGGGGGTTCGCGGTTTGGAAATGGAGGCCACTCTTCAAAAATAGATATGATCCCGTTCAGAAAAGTTCCAATCAGAGAAGGGTTTCAACTTCTCATGGGACTTTGAGTACAGATCTAAGTATATCGATAGGGCTTGGAAAGTTATTGACAAATACGGGAAATAAAACTGCAAAATGAGTCGTTTTCGCTTTTGCGAAGCGAGCTTGCATCCGAATAAAAGCTCGTAAACCGTTTCCCCTCACTAATTTAAGTCAGCGCCTTGTTTCGGCTACCATTTGCGATCACCTGTCTGTCACCTCTATATAAAAACCTCTACGGATCTCCTTCACTGAGAGTTCTCTCTCACTGAAGGATCCCCAGCCGATTAGTGACGAGGCTACGAAGGGCGTCCCCAGGTGGCGGATAGGGGAATTAATCGCCGACCAAAGTCACCGGTACTTGCCCAGAAACCCACGCATACGTGTGTGGAGAGTCTGTGGGTGCAGTTGGTCTCCTGCCCATCGACTCGGCCAAAAGCTTGCATTCGAGTGACTGAGAAGTATCTGGGAGGCGATTCGGGGCCGCCTCCAAAAACAAAGCCCCTTGTCCACTTCGGGATAGCCTGGCAAGCCCCCGGAGTCAATAGCCCTCACGTCAGAGCATGGCAAGCTGCACGTTGGGTATGTACACGCCAAAAACAGTAATGGAAATGGGTCTCATTTCCCTGAACCTGAAGGAGCCCCCAATACGGCAGCGTTGGGTAGGACCGCTCGGGAGAGGCTGCTAAAATCTCAGGGCCAAAACAGGCTGCTCAAAAGGAGAAGGACTAAGAAGGCGACATGTACTTTCAACGCACGGATGCTTGCATCGGAAGCGTGTATAGAAGACCTGATGATGCAAGCTAGGAAGATCAAGTACGACGTCATCGGAATGACCGAGACGAGAAGGCATCGCGCCCTGCACGCTGTATTTAAGACTGGAGAAGAACTGTTCCTTGGAACATGCGACAGTAGAGGCGTCGGCGACGTAGGTGTCCTCGTCAATACGCACTTGGCCATAAACATCGATTCGTACGAAAGCTTAACAACCCGTATCGGATGTTTCGATTAAGGAGATGTGGCTCAACCCCAGCTCTAACCTTCTTCGTTGCTTACGCACCAACATCGAGCTGCGAAGAAGAGGAGTTGGAAGCGTTTTATATGGATCTGGAGAGGCTCTACAGAGAAGACCACGCTTTCTTCAAGGTCATCGTCAGTAATTTCATCGCCAAGATTAGCCTCAAAAGAAGGGCTAAAGAGCTTCAGATCGCGACTGACGGAATGGAAAGGAATGAGCAGGGTGAAAGGATGTCTGAGTTTATCATGTCAACCCACACTATCCTTGGTAACTCGCAGTTCCAGAAGCATTCTCATTTAAGATGGACATGGGAGCCACCCGGTGGAAAATGAAGTAGACCATATCATCTTCAATCGGATTTTTTGCCTGACCGACGTCGCTGTTGTTCCGAAGTTCTACACGGGATCGGACCATCGTCTCCTCCGCGCTACATTCTGCTTTTCAGTGCGTGGAGAGAGAACTATGAAGTTCAGGAAATGAAGCCCCAAGACCTCCATCAACTGAGACCACTTCGATTCCCTTGCGAAGCCATGGGAATATTCCGTTATTGACAACATCGACGAATAATACAACCGGCTCGTCGAGCATCTTCACGATAGTGCTACGAAAGCAGAGAGTCTACAAGTGGCCAAGAGACGACTCTCTTCGAAGACTCTCGAGCTGATACGCCAGCGTGGAATCGCGCGAGCTACAGGCAGTTATCAACAAACGTCCGAACTTGCGAAGCTATGCAGAGAAGCAATAAATTAAGACCTGAAAGAGAGAAAACCTGAAAGAGAGAAGAGCAGCAGTCGTGGACGAAGCAGCCGAGGCCGGAAAGAGCATTCGCAAAGCCCGACGAAGCTTCGCCAATTACAAGACCAAGATGACTTCCCTTCGTCGTCCTGACGGAACCGTTACTGCATCCCGGAGGGCAACGGAGAAGGTCATCTACGACTTCTACTCGGATCTCTTCGACAGCCACGTCTACCTGCCTACTCACCATCTTAGGCAAGACGAATATATCGCTCCTTCGGTTCTCCCTTCCGAAATGCGACATGTCATCGTCGATGTAAAACTGTACACTGCCCGGCCCCGATAGGATCAAACCAGAAGATCTGAAGAGTATACCACCAGTCATCATCAAAACTCTGGCTAGGCTCTTCACACGGAACCTGCCGGACTGCAAGTGACCACGTCGTGGAAAACTAGCAGGACTGTGTTGCTGTATAAAAAGGGAGGTCCAAACGATATTTGTAATTATCGCGCAATCTGCCTGCTGTCTGTAATCTACAAACTTTTCACTGGTGTCATCCTAAACAGGATTGGCAGGATATTAGATGAAGGACAGTCATGCGAGCAATCAGGGTTTCGGAGAGGGTTCAGTACAATCGATCATATGCACACTCTAACAAGGCTCATTGAAGTATCGCGAGAGTACAAAATGCCGCTATGTCTTACGTTTATCGACTTGAAAAAAGCCTTTGACACCGTTGAGACAGAAGCGGTAATTGAAGCCCTGGGCAACCAGGGTGTTCCTACTCAATATATAAGGATGCTTCGGGAGCTCTACGACAACTTCACGACCAGGATTTCACCATTCTACAAGGAAGTCACGTCAACGTGAAGAGAGGTGTCCCGCAAGGCGATACTATTTTGCCCAAACTTCTCAGTGCTGCTCTCGAGAATATCATGCGTCATTTGGAATGGGAAGACTTGGAGTGAAGGTCGAGTGAAGGCCGCTTCCTACATCACCTCAGCTTTGCAGGCGACATCATGCTTATAACACCGAACATCGAACAGGCGGAACGAACGCTGGCCGAGTTTTACAGTGCTTATGGAAGGACCAGCTTGAGACTGAACCTAACGAAGACGATGTTCATGAAAAACGGATTAGTACCTGATGATCCCTTAGCGCTAAACGGAACGAATATTTCCGAGTGCTCCAGCAATATGTATCTTGGTCGGGAAGTCAACAAGATGAACGACCTAGCTCCGGAGCTGTGCAGAAGGATACGCGCCGCGTGGGGAGCATTTGAGAATATCGAGGGAGTAGTGAAGAACACAAATGACATTCGGCTCCGCGCTCACCTTTTCGACACTGCTGTTCTTCCTGCTTCGACGTACGCCTCAGAACTTGGACTCTACGAAAGCAGGATGAGCATGCTGTCAGCGTTACTCAACACTCTTTGGAAAGGACGATGCTCGGGATTCCTCTATACACGCAAGTGCAGAGGGGAATCCGGAGTTTCGAGCTCCGTCAACGAACGAAGATCAGGGATGCCGTTGATTGCGCCAAGAAATCGAAGACCAGGTGGGTTGAACACGTAGTGCGATATTGTGATGGCCGTGGGACCAGGGCGGTTACAGATTGGTTCTCTCGGGACGTCAAGCGAACACCAGGACGGCCGCCATTAAGATGGTCAGACTTCTTCACGAAAGCTCTGAACGAAGGAATGTTGAACCTCGTGCCCTGAAGCGAGGACGATTCATTGGACCACTCTGGCTCGTGACAGGGACGAATGGAGACGTTACTGGCGCCCGCTCAAGGAAGTCGATGATCAACGGGACGACAGGTGATACACGTGATCTGTCACCTATCACCACACTTATTTAATACTTTCTCCACGTCATTTTTGTAACGCTCCTTCATTTTCAACACCGAAACACACATACCCACACCTGAAGTGAGAAAGTCTTGGACACGTGAGAAAACCCAACATCGATGGGACGACCCAAAAAATGAGAATAGAAAACGTGTATTGTTTGGTCTCGAATCGATTGTGTGTTTTTTTACGGTCGTAGAGAGACAACATGTACATGGAATGTTTCATCACCATTGAATTTTTCACGCGTAACTGTTTCGAGTAGTTTGGGTTTTCCTCCTCCACTACAAGAAATTTTGAATAGTCCGGTGGTAGGTGGTAGATAGCTGATCGCAAATGGTGTCCGGATCAAAGCGTCACTCAAATTAGTGAGAAAAAACTTTAGAAGCTCTAATTTGGATGAAAGCACGTTCTGCAAACGCGACAACGACAGCAGGGAGCAAACCCTCATCGCTCACCTCGAGAGGGACAGCACTGCTTCTGCGCCACGGTGTTGCCATTACGGGGCAACTGGGCTTCATCAACTAGCACTATCTCTCCATTCTTTAAGCATGCAAACTTTGAAAGCTCACAACTTTCTTGGTAGGTTCATTTTGTAGTTTTAACTTCCATATTTGTTAATAACTTTTCAAGCCCAATCGATATATTAGTTCTCTATTCAAAGTCCCATGGGAAGATGAAACCCTTCCCTGGTAGGACGCGGGAAAAAAGTGGTAAGATGTAATAGAACAAGTGTGGCTAAATAGCAGATGTGGGCCAAGTTGGCACTGAAGTAGGCGGAGCTTAGATAAAAAATTTACAACTCTATACAGAAATGTTCTGAGATGGGGGAAAAAAAGGGGGTATGACGTAATAGAGCAAATGTGGTCAAATCCCGGAAGTGAGCGGCACTAAAAGTGGGCGGGGATTGAACTGAGGTGGGCAGATCTTAGATCAAAATCTTCTTTGTTCAGAAGCGCTCTAGAACGCGAGACAAGACCACTAGAGGTAATAGAACAAATGTTTCCAAAGCTTAGAAGTGGGCGAGGTTTGCACTGGAGGGGGGGGGGCTTGAATCAAAAGTTTATAACTCTGTGCAGAAACATTTAGAACGCGGGAAAAATTTGATTGAAGGTTATGAAACAAACGTGGTCGAATCTCCGAAACGGGCGAGGTTAGCACAGGGGGGCGAGGCTGAGACCAAAAATTCTTAACCCTGTTTAAAACCTCTCTAGAATGCGGAGAAAATGTTTGGGACAGTTAAACGCACAGTTCCCGATAATTTTGGGTAATCCATATGACGAAAATGGAAGAAAAGATGGAAAATAGTGTGATGAAAGCGAAGAAACTACGTGAATCGGTGTTTCCAAAGTGAAGAAAAGCTTCGAAAAATCGTTAGAAAGGGAGCTGGACGAGAATGATACCAGAAAAATGAAGAAGAAACGAGCATTTGAACGAGCTATGCAATGTGTGTTGTTGTGTACGCGTGGGTGCGAATAGCTGACTACGGTGAGCAAAAATTCACTCCCTGAATACTTTTTTAGCCTTTTGAGGTGAAAAATTAAATGAGGGATCGGGATCGCAGCAGCGAAAAGAATAACAGAGAATAGAGAATAGCAGAAAAACATCGTCTCATTACTCCGCGATCAGTTGATTGTGTGTGGGTCCTAGAGCGAGTATTGCAATCAGTATCGCCTCGACACTCGTCTGACGGGACTCATGAATATTGCATTCAGTATCGCCTCGACAGTCGTCTGACGTGACATCGATCGAGGGGCGGGAAGTCCAGACAATCCGGTAACGGGGCTCCTACTATGCCCGGGTGTTGAGTTTTAGACTCAACAGCGCCCTTCCTGTTAGCCTTGGGCTCACTGGGTTTTCCAAAGAGTAGAACTCAGAAGCTATTTTTATCGTGAACTGTGTCTTCAGAATAATGGTGGTCAAATTTTATGGTAGGAGGGACCTTCATTGAGGTGGATAGGGCTATGATCAACCACTAATAACTCTGCTCAAATGAAACATATCGAGCGTGATGAGCTCTCGAAGCGGTTCAGCGTACAAATCTAGAGAGAACTATCTTATTCTAATAATCCAACATTTCGTTGAATGAGTTCATTTTAGATGGGCTGTCGTGGATATACAGTAGCGCTCAAAAGTCTTCGGTGAAATGCTTTGACGCTTTTTCGTTCATAACTTTTTTCTTAGTAGACCAAATCGCCCAAAGTTTGGATATGTTTAACTAGAGCATATTTCACCTTACCCAACACTCTTTGACTGCAAAGCTGCAATGTCCAAAGGTAGGGCAAGGTATTTGTTGCGGTAGCAGATTTTGCTAAACCAAAGTTGTTGACGTCTGCACTTATTCGCACCTTATGTGCGTTTTTCTCATCCATTGTGTTCGGGGTTACCGCTCGTACACTTTGGACATGACAAAACGGAAAGAGATTCTAGAAGGATTCTCATCTGTATTTCCAGTCGATTTTGAATTCATGCTCTTTGGAATATATGGAACATGATCAGATTGCAGGTTAGTAGTAGTAAATATTCACAATACACCCACGCTTCAAATATCGAAATTTCGCATGACTAGATCCAGTAGGAAAGGAGTTATGACTGAAAAGTACGGCTGAAGAACCGTTCCACCGCAGACTTTTGAGCGCTACTGTATAATGCACGCGCTAGCGTGCATTGCCCAACTGGCATATTATACATCATAAATTGGTGTCATATTTTATAGTGTTGATAAGGTGCCCTATTTATCCAAAACTGGGCTCGATCTAATCTTCACTCGCTCTTATTTCGCTCATAATTTCCCTTTTTGAAGGGAGTGACCTTTGGTTAGGACGTTCCTTATCCTATTGGATTTGCACCCCAGTGATCATTACATCATGATATTTTTTTTTTCAGAACCATCCATTTATTCTCAACAGCAAGCGAGATCGAAGGCACGACCTTGTTGTACTTGTTCAAGATGTCCTCGGCGCATAATTCCTGTGAATGCTTCGACTGTATGTTTCGTGTCAGTGGATACTTTATTAATGGGGTGTTTCAAATGTATATGGATTGATGGTACCGAGTTTATCCTTTTTGTGCGCAATATTTTCTTTATCCGATATCCTTTCTTTATTCTTGTCAGGATAAGTTTTGGAAAATGAGACCGTCAGCAGTTCCAATGCCCATAAGCATTTCTGATTGCGATTATGATGCAAGCTCCCGCGCGAATTCTGCCATTGAACCCGGCCTGCAAGAATGGGTCAGGAGCGTCGAGGGTTGCTGAATCACGGTTGTGGGAAAATTCATCTTTCCATGTCTGCTCAGATGTTTTCATTTTCGGAATTGTGCACGCTGGTCCGATCTTCTACTTTTATGAACCCGATGAACGGCAGCTCATGTTAGAGGAGCCTAGCTTTTGATAGGGCAGAATGTGAGACGCGAGGGTAGAGGGCCTGGGCTTTGCTTTCATTGTTACTTCTAGACGTGGTTCACGAGAGTTTCGATGATTTCGATTCGAACTGCCAACGTTTCTTTAACGTTTTAGGAGACAACCAGCGACTTTTTTGCTGCTGGAGTTTATCTTAATAGGGCTCAAAACCTTTTGCTAACGCTTACTATTGGGATCTTAATTGGAAGATGTGACAAATGACCCTTCCGAGGATGCGTCAAGTATTGACCGTGTATGGTAGACAAACTGAGGAAGTAGTAGTTAATATTACAGTAGTGTTGATTGATAGTAGAACAGCGGTAAAAAGTGAGAAACAACATCTAATGGTAATCCATCACGGTAAGAGAAAGCAGCATTGAATACAGGATAGTTGCAGAATTGCTTTCGCGATTGTATACATTGCTTTGCAGCCACTGAAACACCTTTTCCTTACATCGTCATCACTTTTAAGGAATCCAGAAACGAACTGGTTTGTCGAATAATGGGGGAACGGGTTGCAGTGTGCTCTGGAACTCCAAGAGATCCTGGTTTTCGAATGGAGATAAAACCAGGAATCTTTAGCATTTAACCCAATTACGGTTTTCAAATCAAAAAGGAGTATGCCTTAAACTATAACTTCGTGACTAGAGCTACTCTCATCGAAATTGGTTCTTAAAATGCAATTTGCAGATACTAAACTTCAGAATAGTAAAGTGGAAAAGATGGGACGGAATACAGCATGACGTTTTTAGAGGCACTCTTGGAAGAGAAGGAAAAGTGCATTCTCTCCTCCGAAATTACGTGATGCTTGCTTCATTCTTCCACTATATAATACTGATAAAAGGAAATTATCGGTTGGATGTAGAGATTGCTTTCACACAGATCTGTTTGTGTACTTTGCAGGTGACACCTATTTCGGATGTTACTTGAGAGGTGGCGATCTAACATACAACATTCCGAAATCGAATTCACCTCATTGATTGGATCCAGGTAGAGATGTTGCGATAACCGAAATAGTAAGAAGCGAAGGGAACTTTTTAGTATTTAAGGATAACAATGATCGGTTTCAAATCAGTTAACGTCGCGCCTTCACTCGCTAGCCTCTAAGATTACATTGCTTGATTGGTTGACTGCTGAGCTCTCGATCAGGCTAAGCCCAATCAATACCGAATCTACACATTGGAAAGATTATCCCTTTTTTCACTACCCAAGCACAATCTAGGATACAAAGTTAATTAAATTGAGTCACAACTTGCAATGTCATTTAATCGCCAATGTTATTTACCGTGATTTGGAATGTAACGATTTCTCCGATTCGCTGAATCGATATTGGTTAAGCTAAGCCTAATCTGACAGGTAGGTCAACAGACAACCAATCGAGCTAGAGCACTTCACAGGTCACTGAGTGGGGTGCAGAGTAACCTAAAGCGGAATTACATGGACAGACCCTACTATGGAGTGTTGAAATAGAAAAAATTGGTGTAGTTGATGCTCAATCTAAAAAGGCTTCTTGAACATGTTTCTGAGGAACTGAAAATAAGTGGTTGCAGCAAGAATCTATCTATCTACCCATCGACTCAATGTCTGTATCCGCAGCTCTTTTCTGTCATCAGTCAGCTCTCTCGGCTTTACAAGAGCGCAGCATGTCGTTCATGATGTAAGGATGATTCCCTTATGATTTTGTTCGCAAACCGTTCAGCTTACTCGTGAGGAGGGATCAGCGTTTTTACTGTGTGCCTATATTACATCAAAGAATAGGAAACCTATCATCATTAATCTGTATACAACATTTTTCGCTTCTCGTTAAGGACAAGGCTTCACGCACGTTCTCATTTTCTCGTTCATGTCCTCGATCATCTCTTCTTGGGATGCGCCTACGCATCAACCTCCTTTCAAAATACTTTTGATGCTTGAATGCGTGTGCTCATTCAATGAGTAGCGGTTTTGAGCCCCTGAATAAGTCAGTGCATCTATCCTTTCAGAGAAGAATGATACCGGTTTTCTGGCCCCTGGGCTGATGGAAGGCTAGGTTTGCCTAGGCTTATATCAAACCGAAAATCATCACACGGTCCAAGTGTATGATCGTGGGTCATTCAGAAGTAACCGCCTTTGCCCTTATCGACGTGATTGCGTTCGTTGTGCTGAAGGTGGAGGTCAGTGCAACCCAAAAAACTATTTGCTTGTTACCGTAGAAGTGGTGACCGTGCTGTACTGTTTAGCCTTGAGTAAAACCTCGAAGAAACGCAAGCAACAAAGCGCTTTCTTTGCTCAACTCTTACCGTAATCTAGACTATATGACACTCATCCTATTGTGGAGTTTGCTGAATTTACTACACCTTTATGACCTGTATTGAATATGTAATGACTGTTACAACTCGGCAAATGAAGAGATCCTGCGCACATTTAGATTTTTACGGATTCGTAAAGAGGAAAATCATTTTGTGGACTTAAGATTTACTGGTTAGAGGATGACCGTTCGAAAGGATATGACAAGCTCTATGCCGTGCTCTGTCCTGTTACATCAGTCTTCTTCTTTGTTATTCGGTTTGTTTCGGCGCCATACTCTTAAGCAACTTTTTTTGTTGTTGTGAAAAAGGCCTGAAATGCTCAATTCTTGGATATCGCTATGATTTTCATCACAGATCAGGATCCAGAGTATGGTGCAGGAAAATTCCATAAGCTAATGTTAATAATAATTGAAATTGAAAGGCGTGCTTAGACATTGTTGAGGTTTCGAGAAATAGCCGTGAATAAAAGTTGATTGTTGCTCACGTTGTCACACTTTTCCTTGAGCTCTTTTTGCATGTGTGTTGAGCATAAACATATATGCAAATGGCTGTTACTATTTTGGATGTGCTCTCTCTCCAAATCGTCAGTATCGCCGTCTATGCCAAGCACTCTAGCAATCGGAAGCGAAATGTCTGCCGCGGTCCTTACTAACAAGGGTCCCTCTTATGGTTACACATTTTCAATCTAAGCGTCACAGACATCGAAAGCAGGTAGGGAGGTCTCTTCTTATCAAGATGACAAACTTAATATTTTTTTCTAATCTTCAGAAACGATAGTCGGATGGTATCATTTGATATTTACCAGAGTAATTGTTTCAATCTAACTTGCCCTGGCATCTATTGAGACTCACGTAGGTCTAAAAGTGATTCCACGGTATTGCGTCATTGCATTGTTCACGTAATGACATATTGAAATGCGTTGCTTGATATATACATATATATGTATTAGGTTGAGTAAAAAGTTTTGATCGGCTTTTCAATCTTCACTTTAAAAAGTCTTATTTCCATTGAAAGAGGATCTTAATTAATAATGTAGTCTCCCTCGTTGTCCTGAACATACGTCTAACGAAACGGCAGTTCCTTGACTCCTGAAGCCTAGAAGGGTGGCGGCCACGATTCGAAAAAGCTGGAGGTCTCATCTTTGAGCTCCGGGCAGTCATCAAAATTTCTATCGCGGAGGTGATGTTTCAGAGCAAGAACCAAATGGTAATCAGACGGAGCGAGAACTCGCGAATAAGTAGAATGGGTTAGCACTGCCAATATAAGTTCGGCAATTTACTGACAAAATAATTTCGCAACATGCGGTTGAGCGCTGTCGTGGAAAAGGCAAACATTTTCACGCTGCGGACGCTTTCTTCGAACAACGTCGACCAAACTCTGTAGCTGAAAAGCGTAAATCTCGGCGGTCACGGTGGAGCCCTCAGTAAGTAATCCAATGTAGAGCATTCCCTGAGAATGTCCACCGACGACGCAGTAAAACCTTCCTCGAACATAGTCTACTTCTCTATTAGTCTTGGAGGTGCTTCGTCATGAGGCACCCGTGGGCTGAGATACGATGACCCTTCTGGATGCACCATAGATATTTGCGGATTGTCGGTGGATTATGCCCTTACAGTAATTCGTGATAGACGATAGCTCACAGACAGCTTCGGACGCCAGTTTAAGGTTGAATTCATTTTTGCGAAGCACTTCCAAGGGGATGCTTATATATCCTTTTAAAAATACAGGTTAGGGATCGGTCTATCATAACCCATTACGAAGTCCTTCCGAGCGGTCCTACAAACAAAGGGACGAAGGTCGATCAAAACTGTTTACTCAACCTAATACATATATGTGTATATGTATGTGATGCAAGAATTGGCGGTAGTTATTCAGTAACTCGTATTCGCATTTTTCATATTACGTGAGGTGGGAGCAATGGCAGCTCTCTCAATATATTGTTTCACAGCATATTACGTTCCAATTTCTTAGTGAGAAAAGCTGTGCGGAAATTTCAAGACTCGGTTCGTTCATACAATATCGACGTGAGGCTGCTCGATTCGCTCGACTGACTGTATGCCACCTACTTCGATGACCAAGTTCAAAATACTGATGGGACTGGACTAATCCAACCGAAGAAACTGTGTTGAAAATACAAACAGCGTTCTTGGCTTGGATGATTACATGTTGCACGAATATTCTATTACTCCAACGCTTCTCTTATTGACGATATATTCTAATTAAACTACGAGTGACCGCGGTTATAGCGTAAAATATACAATATTATCTCTTGCAGTCGTATTTTTTCAAATCTTGTTCACTTGCTCTTTTATCCAGTGTTGTTAGACTGTGTTTGGTGAATTTCAATAAGATTCCATGCCCCAACCCCCTAAATTGTGTTGGTTTGTTTTGATTTAATTTTTGCATGCGTTCCATGTCGTTCAATGAAAGCTCCATTCATCATCTGTATCGTCTGTTGCCTTGTTGATTATCGATGTTCTCGGGCGGACGCCAGTAACGTTTCCATTCGTCCTTGTTGCTAGCCCGAGTGGTTCAATGGCTGCTTTCATAGTCCGCCGGCCGGCCGGCCGGCCGGCGCGCCGGCGTGCCGGCGTGCCGGCGAGCGTGCCGGCCGGCCGGCGTGCCGGCGTGCCGGCGAGCGTGCCGGCGGAGGCAGTGCTAGGGGGAGGAGGGTGGCAGACAGATAGGCAAACAGTACACGCCCCTTCGAGGGGTTGAAAACAAACAACCTTCGAAGGGGCGTGGACTGTTTGCCTTACACTGTCTGCCTCCCTCCTCCCCCCTAGCACTGCCTCCGCCGGCACGCTCGCCGGCACGCCGGCACGCCGGCCGGCCGGCACGCTCGCCGGCACGCCGGCACGCCGGCGCGCCGGCCGGCCGGCCGGCCGGCGGACTATGAAAGCAGCCAATGGATCGCCCTCGCTCGAAGAATGCGACGCACAGCGTTCCTTTTGCTCAGAGCTTTCGTGGAGAAGTGTTATCATCGCACTGCCGACCGGCCTAGTGTTCGTTTGACGTCTCGAGGGATCCGGTCCGTAACCACCCCGGTCCAATGGTCGTCATGATGTAGCATAACGTGTCCGACTCACCTGATCTTTCTTGGCGTGAGCAACGGCATCCCTAATTTTCGTTCGTTGGCGAAGCTTGATAATGACGCTGACAGCGTGTTCATCCTGTCTTCGTAGATTTTGAGTCTCCGAGGTGCACGTCGAAGCAATCAAGAGAGCATTGTCAAATAGATAAGCGCGGGGCTGGTATTCCTTACCTTCTTCACCACCCACTCGATATCCTTAATACTCCCGTATGACCGCATAATGCATTTCCTTCTGCTCAAACCCGGAGTTATGAGTTACCAGTTCATCGAGTTGACTTTTCGACCTAGCCACTCGTTGCTAAAGCATTCAGAGATATTCGTTTCGTTTACCGTGAAGGGAGCGTTAGCTACACATCCGTTTCTCATGAACTTCGTCTTCGTTAAGTTTAGTCTTGAGCAGATCTTTCTACAAGCGCTATCAAATTCGGCCAACATCCCTTCCACTTGCTTAACTTTCGGTGTTATGGGCGCGATATTGTCTTCGAAGCCAAGATGATGTAAGAAGCAGCAGTCGACTTCACTTCTAGTTCTTCTCATTCCAGATGATGCATGATGTTATCAAAGCGGCGTTGAAAATTGGGCGAAATGGTATCGCCCTGTCAAACCCAACTCTTCACTTTGACGGTGATTAACGGGTGGGAAATTCTTTAATTGTTCTGGTTTGATCTTATCGAGTCCGAGCGCCGTACTTCATCGACGTGATGACATTCCGAATTTCGAAGGTATATCTAAGGGACGGCATGTCTGCCTTGCCCATGTTGATGAATAAGCAGGTGGACGTGGCTGTCAAAGAAGTTTGAGTAGAATCGTAGATGATCCTCTTTATTGCTCTTCGAGATGCGGTAGTTGTTCCGTCGGGATCGGCGATGAGAATCATATTAGTCTATTGGCTACTTCGTCTACAATTATTGCTCTTCTCTCATTCAGATCTTCCTTCCCTGCATAGCTTCGCAAGTTCGGACGTTTGTTGATAATTGCCTGTAGCTCGCGCGATTCCACGCTGGCGTATCAACTCGACAGTCTTTGAAGAGAGTCGTCTCTTGGCTACTCGTAGACTGTCTGCTTTTGTAGCACTATCGTGAAGATGCTCGACGAGCCGGTTGTATTCTTTATCGATGTTGTCAATAACGGAATATTCCCATGGCTTTGCAAGGGAATCGAAGTGGTCTCAGTCGATGGAGGTCTTGGGGCTTCATTTCCTGAACTCCATAGCTCTCTCTCCACGCACTGAGGAGCAGAATCTAGCGGGGATGCGACGACGGTTCGATTTTATGTAGAACTTTAGAACAACAGCTACTTCAGTTAGGCAAAACTTCCGATCGAACATGATGTGATCTATTTCATTATGGACCTGCCCACCAGGTGCCTCCCATGTCCATGGCAAACGAGAGGGCTTCTGGAACTGCGAGTTACCATGGAGAGTATTGGTCGACATAATATCGGGGCATTCGCAAGGTAACAGGGGGGGGGGAACAGGGGCACAGGGTAACAATGCCAATTCATGCTACTGCTCTTCGCGTATGGGTTTGCACGAGTAGTTTGCCACGCTCTAAAGTGAGGGCTGGGTTGGCTTCGGTAGCTATCCTGGTTATCCCAGAGTGGACGAGTGGACGACGCGTTGCTGTACTGGAAAGGAGGTCGGGACGATATTGGCAACTATCACCCTATCTGCTTGCTCTCTGTAGTGTAGGATCTTTTCACATCCCAACGGGATTGGCAGAATATTGCAGCTTTGCAAGCAGGACTATGACATGGCTCAACGAAATATCACGAGATATGACGCTATGTCAGACCTCGCCATTCTTTAAGGCAGCCTTATCGTCAACTTGAAGAAGGGGGCTCGGCAGAGCAATACATCCCGCTCAGTCCTTCCAGTGCCGTTCTCGAAAACATCGTGTGTCCTTTGGAACGGAAGGAATTGGGTGTAGAGGTCGACGATCGCTTCTTACATCATGTCAGCTTCGAAGGCAGCATTGCGCTCATAACACCGAACATCGAGCAGATGGTACGAATTTTGGTCGAATTCGACGACGCATGTGGAGAGATCGACTAAAGACTGAACCTAACGA